GTCTTTGCAACTTTACAGATCTTCTTTATGCACCAAGAGCTTGTAACACTCCAAAGAGAAAGGAAAAACTGAAATCATATGACCCCTTTAATAAGCTTCGTACCTAGTGTGCTTTTTAAAGCATCGTCGTTGTGAAGACCTGGTCCAGAATGTTTCATTTGGCAGCAAAATTGTGCGGTCACATTTACTGTTTTTTTGCAAAATCGAGTAATATCAACAGGAATTGGTGCGATGATTTCCACACTCAGATTTCACACAAAATCCCAGTGCTGACCAACAGTAACGGCTTGGTTTGGAAGAGTCATCTGTGTGAACTGTGGTTTATATATCGCTATACAACTGACAATAGACCTTTTTTTGCCCACAAAACTGTGCTGAAATTCTGCAAAAATGTTGCTAATGTGACCACACCTGTACTATTTACATAGTATTTGTAAATACTATTAAATGCTGCGGTGATGATGTATTTTGTTGGCCAACCTGGAAGTTACAGAACAGAAAAACTCTTTTTCCCACTGGCTTTTGGATTATTGCAGAAAATAAGCTCTGTGACAAACAAACGTTAATGATTCTTACATGCTTTTTTCATCATAATAATCTTCACAAATCAACACAACTTTTATGAATTTGAAAGCCTAAATACAACTGCCAGAAATCAGAAGCTAAACATTGGCTATAAATGAAACACATAACGGTCGCATTTCCAATAACTCTTTCACTCGCTATTTATTTCCCCTGAAAGTCTGAGGTAGAATAGTTTACAGAAGCGTGATTATAAACACAACAAGGCTGTGAAAGTGGACTTGTGAATAAATGAGTTTACTGTTTCTGACAACCTCTGTAGTGCCATTTAGCGACTTATCAACCGCCTTTTTCAAGACAAGCAAAAGTTTGAACAAAATCGCAAGGGGGTATTTCTGGTGTATTTTATGTTGTAGAATAAAATGTAAAAAATATCTTGAGCTTGTGTTAACCGCAGACCCTACTGTACGTCAGGCAGTCAACCAAAAACCCATTCAAAAAACCCAAAAACGATGAAACCAAAAGTGCTGACTCATTTCTGGCTTTCGGCCTACAAAAATACATCCTCCCTGCAGCAGTCTACTGGAATCAGTTGTGAGTAATGTCTGTGTAAAGCATTACAAATCAGTCATTTGAGCAGTTTAAGGACGATTAGGGTCTTGCCTTAAAAGGCAGCTGCCTATGTAGATAAGACAGCAAGGCAGCTCTCCAGGTTATGTCTTTTAGATTAACCTTTCCCAGGTCTGTATAATTCTGCCTAGGGGTGCTCCGATTGATCAGCTACCGATCACTATCGGCCAATAATCACGTTGAGATGATTGATCGGCGGTCTCTATAAAGGCCGATCTCAAAAAAAACGATCTCAAGCTGATGACGC